TGATAATGTCAACCCGCCACCTGAAAGCTAGGAGCATCCTGCGTCTGCCCCTTCGTTTTTGAAAGTGATTCCTCCTCCTCAGTGTTCATCTTTGCCTGCTCAGGGCCCTAGCATGGTTTTTGATAACCCAACCTGCTCAGTAAATGTTGAGCCTATTAATATGGTGCCTCAGTCTGCAGCTAACACACAGGTCGCATGCTCTGTGTCTACTGCTGTGCAGCCAGTGCCAGGTTATTTGGTTTCAAAAATTCAGGCAGGTCAATATGTAGACTTTAATTTACTCGGGCCTAACAATTTGAAGAAGCTGCCAACTGAGGAGCCTAGTCAATTCCAACTGTCCAAGCTGCTTCGTTCTGATCTGCAAAATATAACCACATTTGCAGATTGGTCTGAAGCATGGGCAGTCTATGTGGGTGTTTTGGCAAAGGATGCCACAGCAAATATTTCCAGCCTCATTAGCTATTTTCTGTTGCTTTCCACAGCGTCTAGGGATGTCCCAGGGTCTGGTTGGCTTGAATATGATGCAGCTTTTCGTAAACAGGTAGTGAACAATCCTTCAGAAAATTGGGGGGAGGTTATTCCTACCCTTTGGATGACAACCGTTCTAAGCCAAGGCTCACTAAAGAACAGCATAAGAGAGGGAAATAGCATGACTGCTTCAAAGAGCTCTCTCCCCTGTTTTAAGTGGAATGATGGTGAATGCACAATGGCACGCTGTCGTTATGCTCATAATGTTTGTTCTGTTTGTTGTGGTGCCCACAAAAAGAAAAACTGTCAAACACAGGTCCCATGTCTTCCCCCAGCGGTATCTGAATCTAATTTTAGTGGCGGGCCAGCACCACAAGGTTCACGCAAGAGAGCCCACCCCAAGTGACTCTCCCCACTGGAATTACTTACTGTTGACAGGAATTTATATTCGCTGCCATTGCCTCTTGCCATATCACCACTTAATTATTATTTTTGGAATTTACTGCTGTCTAACTATGATTATCAAGATAAACAATGGCTTTTACGTGGCCTCCGCTTTGGTTTTGATATCGGTACTTCTGATGGTGTACTCAAATCAGCAACTAGAAATTGCCTGAGTGCATCTTCTCAACCACATATTATTACTAATTATCTCCAAGAAGAAACAGACTTTGGTACTATGTTAGGCCCACTAGATGTGCCTCCTTATTCAGATTTGCATATAAATCGTTTTGGAGTTATTCCTAAAAGTACCCCTTGGCACTTTTCGCTTAATTACAGATTTATCTTTTCCACGCCATTGTAGTGTTAACGACTTGATACCTGACTCGCAAGCAGAGGTCTCATATACAGGTATTCCAGAGGCTATTGACTTGATAATGCCACTGGGAAAAGGGGCACTGCTTGCAAAATTCGACATACGCCGTGCTTATAGGTTGCTACCAGTTAAATCTCAGCAGCGCCATATGCTTGGTATGCAATGGCAGGGTAAATTCTACATTGATTTAGCACTACCGTTTTGGTCTTCGCTCTGCTCCAAAGATTTTTACCCGTTTCGCTGATGCCTTGCAATTTTTATTGGAGAATGAGGTGTGTGTCTCAAACCTTCAACATTATTTGGATGATTTTTTCTTAGTTGGTCCTCCAAATTCCAATATTTGTAAGCGACATCTCGAGGCATGTTTCTCGCTTTGTGAGACATTGGGTGTCCCCATCGCTCAGGATAAAACAGAGGGTCCTTCAACTTGCATTACTTATTTAGGTTTCAAGCTTGATTCTGTTAAACAAGAATTGCAGTTGCCTCAAGAAAAACTTGTCCAAGTTCGTGCTAAGCTTTCTGTTTGGAAAAATCGCAAAACTGGAAAAAAGCGTGAATTACTTTCGTTAATTGGCCTTTTGCAGCATTGTTGCCAGGCAATTGTTAGGAAGGCCCTTTCTCAGACGTTTAATTGATCGTGCTCATTCTGTGTCGGAATTTCATCATTTTGTTAAACTGTCATGCTGGGAACAAGATGATATTAAATGGTGGTTTAAGCTCCTACAATCTTGGAATGGCAAAAGCTTATTTTTTTTTCCTACTTGGGAAAATGCACCGAAAATATCTGTGACTTCTGATGCTGCAGGCAGCATCGGTTTTGCAGCCATTTATGAGACTCATTGGTTTGCAGGCGTTTGGCCAATTGAGGCTTTATCTATCAATATTGCTTCAAAAGAGCTGATCCCTATCGTTCTTTCGGCCCATATTTGGGGAAACACTTGGTCCAGGAAGCGCATAGCTTTTCGCTGTGATAACATGGCTGTAGTCCTCTTATTAATACAAGGCAGTTGTAAGGACCGCCACTTGGCTTTCTTGCTGAGGGAGTTGACAATACTAGCCATTTTGCATTCATTTACATTTACTGCAATACATATTCCTGGTGCCCGTAATGAACAAGCTGATGCATTGTCACGTTCTGATTTTCAGGCTTTCTTTCGAGCTGTCCCAACTGCGGATACAAGTTCCATCGCAATCCCAGAGGGTCTCCTTCAGCATCTGCTGTTTCCACCTTGGACGAGTCATGGCAAACACTCCTAGCACAGTCACTGTCAGTAAATACCAGGAAAACCTATTCGTCTGCTCAAAAGCAATTTATTACCTTTTGCCAGCAAAATGAATTTTTACACGACAATGGTTCTCCCTGTCCTGCTTCTGAGCTTACACTGCTGCGTTTTATTGGCAAAGCTGGCAAAACGTGTCAAGCTTCAACTCTGAAAGTTTATCTCGCCGCTGTTTGAGCTTTACATATAGCGGAAGGATACCCGGATCCTTTACAAAACCTTCATCGTATTCCTTTAGTTGTAAGAGGATTGCGAAGAGTGAAAAAGAGTGAAAAGCTCAAATGCCGCAGCAACTAAGCTTCCAATTGCCGCCTTGATTTTACATACCATCAAAGTGCAGTTAGATTTGACAAAATTTGACGATGCTATGCTTTGGGATGCATGTTGTACTGCCTTTTTCGGGTTCTTAAGGGCAGCCGAATTTACTGTCCCTTCAAACCATTTTTCAGAAGGGTTGCATTTATCTCTTGATAAGATATCTGTAGACAAGATGCCTGTTCCATCAGTTGTATCTATTGCATTGTCCAGGTCTAAGACAGATCAGTTTGGCAAAGGTTGCTCAATTTTACTTGCCCGTTCTGACTCTGTTTTATGTCCAGTAACAGCCCTTATGACATATATTCGTCTTCGTGGAGAAAGGTCTGGTCCACTGTTCCTGTTTTCGAATGGTGCCTTCTTGACTAAGAATAGACTTAACAGTTGGCTACAGAAATCTTTATTATCAGCTGGCTGGAATGGTCGTTTCACGCTGCACAGCTTTCGTGTAGGGGCTGCTTCTACGGCTGCCTCTTTAGGCTTCCCTGAATATCTGATAAAGGCACTTGGTCGCTGGTCAAGTGAGGCCTATCAAGTTTATATCAAGCTTTCGCAAACTCGCTTAATAACTGCTTCAAGATGTCTGGCATCAGCCTCTACTTTAAGTAGTGGTTAACTTTGGTGGGCAAAGACATTTTATTTCGATTAATTGTTATGTTCCCTAATATGTTCTGTTCAAGACTATTTTACCCTTTGTCAATTTGCTGGTTCAGTTTTTTGTTGTTGTTCAAAATTCACTTATTGAAGTGATGTAGCTTTTTTTTTCTTCATGTTTCTGACATAGCATTTTCACTATTTTAATTACTTGGACTACTTAATTACCAGTGGCTCAGTGCCGTTTCGTTTTATGGCCTTTAGGCCATTGTTTTATTTAACTTTAATATTTTGGTGTGATCGCCGTTGGCTCATTGCCGACTTTTTCTGGCCTTTGGCCAACGTTTCTCATTCCATATTTTAATGGTGTTTGGCAAAATGCTGGTGGCCCACGGCCGTTTGTTTTATGCTTTATTTAAGTTTAAAATTTGACGTAAACGCTGTTGGCTTACTGCCGATTTTTTCTGGCCTTTAGCCGATGTTTTCATTCCATGTTTTAATGTTGTTTGGCAAAAATGCCGGTGGCTCAGTGCCGTTTGTTTTATGCTTTATTTAAGTTTAAAATTTGACGTAAACGCTGTTGGCTTACTGCCGATTTTTTCTGGCCTTTAGCCGATGTTTTCATTCCATATTTTAATGGTGTTTGGCAAAATGCTGGTGGCCCACGGCCGTTTGTTTTATGCTTTATTTAAGTTTAAAATTTGACGTAAACGCTGTTGGCTTACTGCCGATTTTTTCTGGCCTTTAGCCGATGTTTTCATTCCATGTTTTAATGTTGTTTGGCAAAAATGCCGGTGGCTCAGCGCCGTTTGTTTTATGGCCTTTTGGGCCATTGCTTTATTTAACTTTAAAAACTTGACGTAAACGCTGTTGGCTTACTGCCGATTTTTTTTCTGGCCTTTGGCCAACGTTTTCATTCCATATTTTGATGTTGTTTGGCGAAAATGCCGGTGGCTCAGTGCCGTTTGTTTTATGCTTTATTTATGTTTAAAATTTGGCGTAAACGCCGTTGGCTTTCTGCCGATTTTTTCTGGCCTTTGGCCGATGTTTTCATTCCATATTTTAATATTGTTTGGCAAAAATGTCAGGTGGCCTAGTGTCGTTTGGTTTTATGGCCTTTGGCCGTTACTTTATTTAACTTTAAAATTTGGCCTAAACACCGTTGCCTTACGACCATTTTTTTTTTCCTGGCCTTTGGTCTAAGTTTTCATTACATATTATAATGTTATTTGGTAAAATGCCGCCGGTGGCCCAGTGCCGTTTGTTTTAGGGCCTGGCAATTGCTTTATTTAACTTTAAAATTTGGCGTTAACGCCGTTGGCTTCCTGCCGCTTTGTCTGGCCTTTGGCCGATGTTTTCATTCCATATTTTAATGGTGTTTGGCATCAATGCCGGTGGCTCAGTGCCGTTTGTTTTATGCTTTATTTATGTTTAAAATTTGGCGTAAACGCCGTTGGCTTTTTGCCGATTTTTTCTGGCCTTTGGCCGATGTTTTCATTCCATATTTTAATATTGTTTGGCAAAAATGCCGGTGGCTCAGTGCCGTTTGTTTTTATGGCCTTTTAGGCCGTTACTTTATTTAACTTTATAATTTGGCGTAAATGCGTTGGCTTTCTGCCGATTTTTTCTGGCCTTTGGCCGATGTTTTCATTCCATATTTTGATGTTGTTTGGCGAAAATGCCGGTGGCTCAGTGCCGTTTGTTTTATGCTTTATTTATGTTTAAAATTTGGCGTAAACGCCGTTGGCTTTCTGCCGATTTTTTCTGGCCTTTGGCCGATGTTTTTTCATTCCATATTTTAATATTGTTTGGCAAAAATGCTGGTGGCTCAGTGCCGTTTGTTTTTATGGCCTTTTAGGCCGTTGCTTTATTTAACTTTATAATTTGGCGTAAACGCCGTTGGCTTTCTGCCGATTTTTTCTGGCCTTTGGCCGATGTTTTCATTCCATATTTTGATGTTGTTTGGCGAAAATGCCGGTGGCCCAGAGCCGTTTGTTAGTTCAGTTAGGATATGCTAAATTTATGGTTGGTGATTGGTGGGTACACTATGTGTCCTTTGGCCGGAAATATTTTCCCTGTTACAATCACCGCCCATAAAAGGTATAATTGTTCAGGCAGTTTAAGGGCTGATGCATTGTTCGCCCACTTTCTGATGTTGATCTATGTCCCTCCCTGGTGAAGTATTAAATATCTGTTAGATGCGCAGAGGTTTAACAGCAGTTAATGCCACCAGGGAGGAGCATGGGTTTGGGACACTTGACATGTCGTGCTGAGTGGCACGATCTTCCAGTCACATGGTGATCTAACCTCTAGAAAGTCAAGATTAAAGTTTCAAGCGTTGTTTTCTTGGATTTTTATTACCCGCCCTCCTCCCCTTCCCTATTTTCTTTCTTTCCTTCATATGTTTCCTAATTTTTTTTTTTCCTCTCTCTCTTTTCCCGCGGTTCTTTTGCCGTGGGACAGGTGCATTAGCCGGAAATATTTTCCCTGTTACAATCACCGCCCATAAAAGGTATAATTGTTCAGGCAGTTTAAGGGCTGATGCATTGTTCGCCCACTTCCTGATGTTGATCTATGTCCCTCCCTGGTGAAGTATTAACTCCAGTTTCTTATACTCCTTTTTCAAAAATTTAATGCTCATTGTTTCTTGAGAGTTTCTTAATTATTTTAATATTTTGCAGCCCTCTATTTGACTTTCCATTCTTGGGAATTGCCAAGCACAAATTTGTTGGGGAGAATCAATTGAAGTTGCAAATGGTGAGACTTGCTTGGTTTCAAATGCACTTTACATCTCTGTCAAAAGATTCACTTCCATTATAATGCTGTACATAGATGAGGGTAATTTATTTTATTCTCTGTCTATAGTTGTATCATGTAGATGAATTTTTATGAGAGCCCTTTTCTATTAACTGTCTTGATTGCTTACTGATTTTCCAGTATTTGTTTCTTATGAAAATTTGCATGTTTTCAATTTGGATTTTTGCCTCTTCATGACAAACAATCAGATAATGCTATAGAAATACAGCAAAAAAAATTTGGATTTTGATTGATGTAAATGTGATATATAAGGTTGATATTGAGGTCTTACAAACATTGAAAGCATTGAAAATGTACTATCAAACAAACCAAGAATGTTGCTTGTTTATGAATAAAATATACTTTTAACCAAATATTTCATTAACCAGCCCCCTAAGTAGCAAATTGGTCATCAAGCTAAGCAAAAAAATTGCCATCTTCCTTTCAAACATCTTCTACACTTCACAGATTTTTCAAGAATGAAACTAAAACTGTGTCTTGCATAGTTGATTGGATGAAAAGAATCAGTGTTCACTGTTTTGTTATTTAGTGCTTTGTAGATATTTACTGTATATGTTTTTAGTGTAAAGAATATAACAGTTTTAAGTGGTACTTTCCTGATAATGATAGTCAGTTAACTCATAAAGAAATTCTTGGAGAACCAAGTACAGTTTCTAGGATTGTAATTGCCTAATTGAGTTATGCACAAAAGGCCTAAATCATTAAAGATACAAGATACTTTACAAAATTCATGGATAACAAACAAATGATGTAAAACTCAACACATTTAGATCAAATTGATTCCTTTAAACTTTTGGAGCTTATATAGAAGCTGTCTTAATATTTAAAAATTGATATCTGTAAAAAAGGTGTTTTTTAAATCTAGTAGCAAAATAGTGGCAAGGTTTATTAAACAGAAGGTCTTGTTTAATATGTTGATTCTAGAGAGGCTTATTTAGGAAAATATTTCAATTTTAGTGTCAATATGACTAAAATTTAAGTAAATTTGTCCAACAGCTTATTGACAACATCAAGCAGCAGTTGGTTCTGATGCTGCATTTGCCCTTGCTGCTGCTGAAACATGACCATCATATCCCTGTCCCTATTTGCCCTTGCCTCATTATTTGTTTCCTTCATTTCTAGCTCTCACTTCTTAACTTCCCATTCTCTCTCCTTCTCTTTTTCTTTTATCTCAATCTCTTTCTCTTTTATCTTAATTTCCTTTTCTTTTACCTCAATCTCTCTTCTTCTCAATTCAAACTCTTCTCTTTTTAGTTGCCGATCTCTGTCAGTCTTTTCTCGCATATAGTTGATCACCTCTTTGTCCCCATCAGCCTTTCTTCTTTTTCTCCCACCTTCCTGACACTCTCTCTCCCTTGTCTCTCCCAATCTTTCCATAGAGCGTTTTCTTACAGATTCAGCTGTTTCTTTCTCCTTTTCTGCAACTCTCTCACCAGCCCTGGCCATTTCACTCTGTGCTTCATCCCTCCTTTCAATAATGTCCTGAATCGCTTGCTCCAATTCAGTTGGCTCTGGTGGGCTGATACCACTCTCTTCTTCTGACATCTTTTTTTTAAAGCCTCGTTTAAGCTTCAAAAATCGGTCCCTCACTGCTCTTTGATCAACAGAGAAACGTGGTTCAAATATCTTATTTAAAATGGTAGCCACCTTATCCCAAACGTGACCACGCTCTCAAGTACCCATTTTAAAATGAAAGAGCTCCTCAACAAGGATCTCTCTACAGAGCAGTGTGTCATACTCTAAGGTCCATGTCATTTTTGGCCTAATTAATAGAACATAAGAATAGAAAAAAGACAATAAGCACTCATATCTGATCCAAATCATGAATAAATTTATATTTGCAAATTTCAGACTAATAAACAATTGTACCACAATCAACAACACATAATCAAAATTTAGTGGCAACATGGAATATAATGGATTTCTTAATGACAATTTTCATTTTGTTGGATTTTAAGGAAAAACGGTAAAATACATTTCTTAAAATAAATGAACAGCTACTTTCAGTTAAGATATGAATAACAAAAAAATAGCACTGTCACACTATAACTTCTTTTGCATAAATTTAGAAAGAAATCATTTAGGGCTAGCCCATTAGCTTAGTAGAACGCCTGACATTATTTTTACTATTTGCCTCAACTCAACCGTTTTTAAAATCTGTAGATTAATTATACTACAATGTTCACAAACGTTTGGTTCTTTGCCTCGTGGGGTCCTTGAGAATTCATCTCACAGCTTCTTCGTGAATGGGCCTACAAAAGTAAGAAATATTACTTAAAATCTAACCAAAATACATTATCAGATGCAAAAAGAATAAAATCGCCGAATTTAACAAAATCAACATAGTGTACTTACGATTTAAATGTCCGGGTTGTCCTCACAACATAAAAATCGAAAATCTGGGTTGTGAAATTGGCCTCCACGAGCTGGATTGGAAAAACATGAGATGGTCGCGCTAGTTACTAGACTCCCCCAGCTCGTCTTGACCTGTCGCATCGTGTTTCTCAAACTCTCTAATAAGTCTTACGGGAGGGACGCAGAGTTTACTAATTCAGAAACTATAGAGTTTAATCAGTTTTTGTCTAGAATAAAGTTGTTAAGATCTGTGGCATGGGTATTTTGGTTCATTGCTAACATTAAGGCAAGAATTAAGAAGTTTGAACCAGAGGTAAGTAGTCAAGTAACGACAGAAGAAATAGAGAAGGCTGAAAATTATGTTCTGAAAGTCGTTCAAGGTAAGGCTTTTGCTAAGGAAATTGAATGTCTTCGTGAAAAAAGGATTTCAAAGTTACCTTTGATTAATCAGCTCAATTTGTTTATTGATGAGGAACAAGTATTATGTTGCAAGTCACGACTTGGCAATGCAGCTTTCACAGATGTGGAAAAAAGCCTATTATTTTGCCATCAAAATGTTACTATTCTGAACTTGTAGTGCATGAAGCACACTTGAAGGTATTTCATGATGGCATTGGAGAGACGCTAAGTTCTATAAGGGAACGTTATTGGATATTAAGAGGCAGAGAGATAGTCAAGAAGATATTAAGAAGGTGCTTACCGTGTAAAAGAATTGAAGGACTGCCATTTAAATGTAATATCACTCCAGACCTTCCGGAATTTAGAGTAGATGATAGTCCACCATTTAGTAATACAGGAGTTGATTTTGTGGGTCCACTTTATGTAAAGGGCGTAGACAAAAATGAAGAGAAATGTTACGTATGCTTGTTCACATGCGCTTCGACCAGAGCGGTTCATTTAGAGTTGATAGAATCTTTAGATGTGCCTTCATTTATTCGTGCCTTTCGTAGGTTTTGTGCTAGAAGAGGTGTACTTGGATTAATCATGAGTGATAATGCCAAGACGTATAAGGCAATGTCAAAGGAAGTAAAGAAACTATTTCATTCCCCCAAGCTATACGAGCATCTCACAAGTCAATGTCTCAGGTGGAAATTCATTGTAGGAAAAAAGTCCATGGATAGGTGGTTGGTGGGAGAGATTAGTTAGAAGCGTGAAGCGTTGTTTGATCAAGAATATAGGACGCGCATTCCTAAGTTTTCAAGAATGAAACTAAAACTGTGTCTTGCATAGTTGATTGGATGAAAAGAATCAGTGTTCACTGGTTTGTTATTTAGTGCTTTGTAGATGTTTACTGTATATGTTTTTAGTGTAAAGAATATAACAGTTTTAAGTGGTACTTTCCTGATAATGATAGTCAGTTAACTCATAAAGAAGTTCTTGGAGAACCAATCCTAGGATTGTAATTGCCTAATTGGGTAATGCACAAAAGGCGTAAATCATTAAAGATACAAGATACTTTACAAAATTCATGGATAAGAAACAAATGATGTAAAACTAAACACATTTAGATCCAATTGGTTCCTTTAAACTTTTGGAGCTTATAAAGAAGCAGTCTTAATATTCAAAAAAACTTTATTCGTAAAAAGGTGTTTTTTAAATCCAGTAGCAAAATTCTGGGGAGGTTTATTAAACAGAAGGTCTTGTTTAATATGTTGATTCTAGAAAGGTTTATTTAGGAAAATATTTCAATTGTAGTGTCAAGAACAGCTAAAAGTTAAGTAAATTTGTCCAACAGCTTATTGACAACATCAGGCAGCAGCTGGTCCTGATGTTGCATTTGCCCTTGCTGCTGCTGAAACATGACCATCATATCCCTGTCCCTATTTGCCCTTGCCTCGTTATTTTTTTCCTTCATTTCTAGCTCTCGCTTCCTAACTTCCCATTCTCTCTCCTTCTCTTTTTCTTTTGTTTGTCTCAATCTCTTTCTCTTTTATCTTAATTTCCTTTTCTTTTACCTCAATCTCTCTTCTTCTGAATTCAAACTCTTCTCTTTTCAGTTGAAGATCTCTTTCAGTCTTTTCTTGCATATAATCAATCACCTCTTTGTCCCCATCAGCCTTTCTTCTTTTTCTCCCACCTTCCTGACACTCTCTCTCCCTTGTTACAGATTCAGCTGTTTCTCTCTCCTTTCTGCAACTCTCTTACCAGCCCTGGCCATTTTAGTCTGTGCCTCATCCCCCCCCCCCAACAATAATATCCTGAATCGCTTGCTCCAATTCAGTTGGCTCTGGTGGGCTGATACCACTGTCACACTCTTCTTCTGACATCTTTTTTTTAAAACCTCTTTCAAGCTTCAAATATCGGTCTCTCACTGCTCTTTGATCAACAGAGAAACGTGGTTCAACTATCTTATTTAAACTGGTAGCCACCTTATCCCAAATGTGACCACGCTCTCGAGTACCCATTTTAAATTGAAAGGGCTCCTCAACAAGGATCTTTCTACACAGCAGCGTGTCATGATCTAAGGTCCATGTCATTTTTGGCCTAATTAATAGAACATGAGAATAGAAAGAACACAACTTCATGAATAAATTTATATTCGAAAATTTCAGACTAATAAACAATTGTGCCACAACAAACAACACATAATCAAAATTTAGTGGCAACATGCAATATAATGTACTTCTATATGGCAATTTTCATTTTGTTGGATTTTAAGGTAAACCATCAGCTGGATTGGAAAAACAGAGATGGTCACGCTAGTTACTAGACTCCCCCAGCTCGTCTTGACCTGTCGCATCATGTTTCTTAAACTCTTTATTATCTAGACAGACCCGGCTCTAGAGGATCTTTCCAGTAATGATTTCCAGTAATTGATGCCAGGTCTAACTGGTCAATTACGGCGTTGATGGTTGACAGTATCTTTTTTTTCGTGATTGCACCACTGTGTTCATTCCCCTATGCATTTTGTACAACTGATTGTTAACTGACTTTGATGTGGTTCAATGTCACCCCAGAACCTTGTTTCGCTAGGATTGGTTCCTGGCTATTGGCATGGGCTAAACAGTCAAGCACGATTCTTATCTTCATTGATTCTGCTTCTTCTCGGATGACAAGCTGACGGGGGGGGCATAATGACAAGCTGACAATATATGAATTAAGATCGTTGAGCCAACAAAAACAGACCTAGTACACCGGTTAATACCAAAGCTCAAAACTCAAACAGCGTGGTTAGCAAGTTATACAAGTGTCTATTGTCCAATAAGCTTCAACATAACATAGCATGTGACTACAACAAGCAAACATTAACTATTATGATAATCATCATATATTTAAACACTCATACTTGATGATTATGTTTCAAGCAAAATGTAAACAACACATTTTTTTTACATATGGACAGAACTGAACAATGCTGTGAACTCCTAATGGGGGACATAATTCATAAATTATTAAAAAAAACCTGCCATCATGTCCTGAGTTGGACAATAATCTAAAACAATTTCATTTGATATCACTTTTTCACGATCAAAGTGATAAGAAACATCAACATGTTTTGTTCTGTTATGAAACTGTTTATTTCTTGGAAGTTGTCTTCTGTTATGAAACTTTTTATTTCTTGAAAGTTGTATTGCACCTTGTTTTATCAGAATGTTCACTATTCAAAGCTTCTTTGCGAGATTTTGGTCCATCAGATTCTTATGTAAACGCTTCTGCAATAAAGCAATTCTCAGTTAATTTGTAATCTCTTCAATCAATCTTTTAGGATCTTTTCTTTCTCTTTTTGCTCCTATGTTTCTGACTTGTTGCATGAATGTCTTTCATGCGTTGCTCACACTGGGGTTGTATTTCTCACAAGTTCCTTACTGAGGGTTGCAGAGGTTTGCCAGTTCTAATCCAAATTCCAGAAATTCGAATTCGTGAAAACTTCTTTGGCTATCAAAATATGTTGGCCAAAAATTTGGCTTTTTTTGAATTTATATGAAAAATTATCCAAATTTCCTGAACATTTGAATTTTTAACAGATATTTTGGTTAACAGCTGTTGCGATTCAATTGGATAACACCTTTTAGTCAATCACTTCCCTCTGAGACTTTCGGGTTTCCTTCTTAAGGTAGAACATGTGTGAAGATGTGTGATGTGTAGAACATGTGTGAAATGTCATAACATGTTTATCTCTGGTGTTTGTGTGCTTTGTCGTGTGTCCTTGGCACATTGCAGCGTTCCTTGTTTTCAATGATATAATCTAC